ACATGGTCATTCTAAGCCAAGGCTGGTCCTCTCTGCATATCTGTGTGGAATATGGTCCCCTCACATATGCACAGATAATATGCAATACTGGTACAGTTCCTATGAAGGACAGACAGTACTCTGCTACAGGGAGTTTTCAAGCCATAACCAAAGGGCAGATGTAGCATTCTTTGGCCATGTCCTCGCCCTCTTGGCATTCCCCTAGCTAGAGATGCAATCCCAACACTTTGAAAACTGAAGCAGGAGGATTATGACTTCCCAGAAATGGGAGGAGCACATGTCCAAGAATTACCTACTGGTGTCTTTAGTAACAGTATAACTTTGATGTCTCTGCTGTCCTCGATCAGTCACTAGCTGGTTTAAACAAGAGTCATCCACACAATGTGGCACTGCATAGTCCTCAGAAAGCACCAAACAGTTCACTATATCCCTTTATGTTGTGCCTACTAGAATGTGTGGTTTAGGAAAATTCTCAGAAACCTAAAAATCAACTTACCACGGGACTGTGTCCCGGCTATTCCACTCCTCGGTAGGCATGTGCCCAAAGGATTCAACATTCTACTCCACAGATATTTGCTGAGCCATGTGCATTACCACTTGCTTTGCTAAAGCTAAGATGTGGTCACAACCTAAATGGCCTTCAGCAGATCCATATGTGATGATAATTGTTTGCTTGTCCACAACGGAACATTAGTCAGATGTAAAGAAAAATGAAATCATTAGCCGGGCGTTGGTGGCACACACCTTTAATCCCAGCACTCGGGAAGCAGAAGCAGAGGATCTCTGTGAGTTCGAGACCAGCCTGAGGTGAGTATATAGCTTATAGTAACCAGAGAAACCATGAGAGCATAAAGGGACCACAGGGGCTAACGATGCTACAGGAGACCTGAAGATGGAAATGGAAAAATGGGGTGAGCTTAAAGAGGGAGGAGAGATAAATAACCATAAGGATATCTGAAATACCCAAAGTGAGCCTATTATTTTATATTTACATGAGGTGAGGTTTTGGTTAGAGTAACCAGAGAAACCATGAGAACATAAAGGGACCACAGGGGCTAACGATGCTACAGGAGACCTGAAGATAGAAATGGAAAAATGGGGGGATGATAACATCTCCAAGAGCCATAGACTACTGAAAAATAAATCCACAATCCCAGGCATGAGAATCTCCTTTTGAGGTGTTTCTCAGAGGAATCCAGAGACCACCCCAAATAATATAAGTTATTGCTATTGCACCTGGCTGCCTCCCAGACTTTGAAGGGAAGTCCATATTGCTAAAGACACCAGGCATTTTGGTCTTATGGCTAAGGACTCAAGTTAGATCTACAAGCCTCCTCCTTGAGGTCGAGCTTACACAGTGTCAGAAGTTGCTATGCAAGTAGCCAAGGGAAGAAAGCAAGCATTAGTCCTACCAACTGTGTTGCCTTTGAATCATAACAATGGCCAGCATACTCCTAAATGGGCAACAGTGGCACTAAAATCTCAGGGAGAAGCAACATCTGTCTAACTAGACTTAAGGCCTGACCAACAGGCGGTAAATCATGCCTGGCACTATAGACCTAGTCAACTACCTTTGTCTAGTGAGGTCACGGAGCACACAGGAGCACACATATTCAGTCACTTTCTTAAACCACTGCAATTCCTCACTGCTTTCTGAACACTTATAATCAGAGACAAGTGTTCATCTCACCCCTCATCAAAAATAGCTCCTTTTCAGGTGGTGGAGTCTGCTGTTCAGTGCACTGGCTGCTTTTCCAGAACACCAGGATTCAATTCCTGGGCTCCCACAGGTTGGCCTGCAATTCCTGTTCCAGGGAATCTGATGCCCTCTTCTGGCATCTGATGGCATTGTATGCATGTATATCGGTAGGCAGACCTTGATATAGGCAAAACACCCCCACCGCTCCCACCCACATATTCACACCCACCCACACCGCACAAAGTCACACACAAAAAACAACAACAAAAAAACAAAATTAAAATAATTTAAGAATGAAGATTCTTTTTTTCATCAGACAGAGACCATGACAGTAAGTCATAATAGTCAAACTACAGAGAAAAACTGGGTCCTAGCCCCAACTGATACATCAACAACACAGCCTTAATGCACTAGGCACAGAGACCGCAGTGGTAGAGGGGGTGGAGGCATTCTTAAGAGGCCAGGGGAGTCTGGTGCTTGATTGGCCTTTCTATGTATGTCAGGAAATTACACCCATGACTTCTGAAAATGTGGCTGTTTAAATGAGCCTTGAAGAAGGACAGCACCGGTTGACATGCTAACATGGATGGACAATCTCACAGAGCCCCACCACTAGATGCAGAGCTACAGGCAATTAAAGACTGCTGACAGAGGGATAATTAGTTTTCCCCAGGGATGAGTTTCCTGAAAGGTTATCCACCAACTAGCACGCTATCAAAACATATATGTACAAGTAACC